CCTAAGTTGTTGAAGAAGAGGTTGTTACAGAATCATCAACGAACTTTTGAACAAGAAGAAGAAGAAGAATGAGTTTGATTCATTTAGAGAAAAATTTTAGAGTGGATTGTTTGATAACATTTTTGAATACATTAATCCATTGTTGTTGCATTAACTAGTTATACAACAACATCTCTAAAAGATGATTGAAGATCCATTAAACTAAAAGAAGAATTTACATGAAATGATTTGTTCAACAAAACTCATTACAAAATAAGTCAAGCTTAATTATGATAACTGATTATGAATTATATAGAATACTTCCACTATTTTTAAAAGATTCATATTCTAGTTTTTTTTCACATTTTTCAATAAAACACAATAAATTTGCATAGTTTTTGTATTTATCTCATTTCTACAATTTTAAATTAATAAAAAATCAATAAATAAGTTTTTTGAAGTTTACAATTAATTAATTAAACATGAATTAAAAATGTAAAAAATAGTTTTTTTAAAAACAAATCTTTTTTTAGAATATGTATCGTTAAAGAACGGATGAATAATAAATCTAGTACACATGATTTTTTAGCAAAGAAATCAGCACATACATTTATGCGACAAATGGCATATATATGTTGGAATTTTAGTAAAACACTTATAAACTGTGTGAAATCTTTTAATTATGTTTTGAAGTTAGATTAATCAACTGAGTTCTTAAATCATTTTTGATTAACTTCGCTCAATCCGTTTCAAAAATGGATGAATAGATACTCATCTCACTTAGACGTATCATAGTCCAAAGAAGACTCTCCATCTCTGCATGTAATGCAGATGACATTCTTTTCAACCAAATTTATAATCTTGTCTCTTAGACAACTTCCAAATCAACCCATTGGTCCATGATCAACTTGAGAAACATTGATTTAGCCAATCGGAATAGGATGGATAACGGGGAGATTAGGTCTATATATGGTCTTCTTCCTGATCAGGAAAATTCACGTCTTCCTCCACATCTTTAAAATTCATAACTTTTATTTAATTTCGCATAGGGACTCACTTGTTAAAAAGCATATGAACACCATCTTTTCTTTTTCTATTATGTAGACTACACTGAGCTGATGAAAGTTATTCTGGTTATCTACCAGAAAAAAACTAGTACTTCTACATCTAAATCAATAGCTGATTACATAGACTATATAATAATAACTTGAAAAGAAGAAAAAACATGGGACATGGGACCTTCCACGTGAGGTAGAGAAACTGAGGCAAGTTCGTCGTGGTCCATATTGCGATCATATAACTTTGGGACACTTCTTTAATTGCACACTCACATGATATGTTTTCGGCTTTTTTGAGCCTCGTTGTTATAATATACGCCTAATTCCTAAGCACGTAATATTCAATCATCAAAAACAAAACCCTATTGTATAGATTTCTATACTCATTTTGGATGGAGATGAAACTTAGTCAAAGTCATTTTTGTATAATCGTTTCGTTGGTATATGGGCTGAACACACGACCTAATCCCATTACAGAACAAATCTTAAAACGAGTCTGCATGGATTAAACATTCAACTGAGTTTTGCTGACTTGAAACTCTCTTTATCTTCATTTTGTAGTGTTTTCCTTAATTACACCATCTGTTTATAGTTTCAATAGAAATCGTGCAACATATTCATTGTACTCGTTGTCGACATTATAAGTTGGCTGGTTGGAGTTGTCAAATTTTGTTAGTTTTTACACTTTTCTTTTTGATGGAGTGACCTTTAATCCCAATTGTTATATATTACTTGATGGTGATGAAACGTTTACTTTACTTAGTTTACATATATCTTTGGCTTCGTGAAGTTGACCCGGCAACACACAAAGATATCTTTTAATTAAGACACGTAACTTCTTTTTAACATATCTTTGGCTTTTACTATCTTACTAGAATAAGATCCGCGCCTTGCGCGGGATGAAATTATTATTTTTATTATGTTTTTAAAAATAAAACAATAGTTTGGTTTCATTCGGATTATAGGTGTTCAATTCGGATATCGGGTTTCGGTTCGGCTCGATTTTTTGGTATTTCGATCATTAAAATATAACTACTATTCTAAATCTATATGTACTTCAGTTTGATTTGGTTTATATACCATCGGTTTTCAGTTTATTCAATTTTATACCAAAAAACATAATTATTTAGTTTGAGATCATATTATATATTATACAAATATATAATATGATCAT